TAACATGCCATCACAGGAAAACATTATGAAACATTCCTCGTTTAAGTTTTGAAGCAGTAATTACCAAACTTTCTCTAATTCAAGCCCCTAGTTGTGAGGATGTATAGCTTTTCTTTACCTTATTTGTTCATAAGCTGATTATCTTTGAGGTTCAGCTGGTTGGTCCGACAAAATAAAAAATGATGCTTTTGGAAATTGTGACATTTTTCACTATTCTCTGCCTTTTTTCTTTCTTTTCAGTGAAGTAAGAGTGTGTTTGGCAGTTTAAACTTTAAAATTAAAAATAGTTGTATATTCCTCTGGGTGCTTTATTGAAGAAGAAGGAATTTGTGATTTTGTTTTTTATGGAGAAAAAAAAACATAACAGTCCTTTGTTTTTTGCACAAACATGTCTCCAGAGGATGCTCAGTTTTCTTTTTTATCAGTGACTCTACAGTCCACATTAAATTTGTCTGTTTCTTTCAGATCAAAGTGGACTTCATGAAGCTGCTGGAGAACGGCATCCTAGCTGGCTGTAAAGAAGACAGGGTCAAAATTGGACTATTTTAACATTGTGGATTTGCTGCGTGCTGATAATCCACATGACAACCCGATGTTTTAAAGCGACCTACTGATGTTCCTCGCAACATGCTGAGGGGCCTCTTCCTGTTTGTTTTCCCTTTGTGTCGAGCACAGTGTGAATCCTGCGTGCCGCCTTCAATATTTTCAGAGTCTGTGTGAAATGTATGGCGCTGTTTGTTCGCTCTTGTAGTCCAGCGCAATCTGCCAGTGGTGATGGATTGAATAAACGGACTCAGAATGAAACCCACATCCTTCTGTTTGTTTACTCTGACCTTGGGAAGTCCCTCCCACTGAGAATGTGAGGTCATGAGTTTACTTGCCTACCAGGAAGTCCCATGTATCATAGCATCCTTTTGATAAAGCATCGCAGAACAACACGGAAGGGCCCAGAACCAGCATATTATGTACGTATTATATCAGAATAAATACATAACTATCTCTACGGTATCGTTTTGATTTGAACAAACAAAAACCTGTATGTTGTGGGAAGCAAACAGAGAAGAACAAACCACAGTCGTCCAAAAAAGTGGAAGTAACAGAAAACAGAAAGAGGTAGTTAAGCAAAGGATTGTGGTTAATAAGTAACAGGCCACAACGGTCTCCCCCACCCTGCAAAGCCTGCTGGGAAAATCTCTTGGCAAGCAGAGCGGTGCGAGTGTGTGTGTGTAAAGGGTGATATCGCTGACATTAAAAAAACAGGAAGAGAAGATAGCACAGCGCCTCGTCGAACGCTTTTCTTGAATCTTCAGCCGTCCACCGAGTTCCTCTTCTGTCCCCGGCCGAAGGTCCCTCTCATGGGGAAGGACAAAACCAAGTCTGGGCCCTTGGCTCAGAGGCCCGACAACTCAGCCTTCAAGCAGCAGCGGCTCCCTGCCTGGTCTCCAATGCTAACAGCTAATACTGTACTGCCTTTCTTTTACTTTATGACTTTGATATGTTTGCTGCTGGGAGTGTGGCTGCTTCTCACTGTGCAAAGCACTCAGGAATTAAAGGTGAGTAAAAACTGCACTTACTTTTAAGTACTGATTTTGAAGTCCAGGAATGCTTTGGTGTAAAATGCACAAGGTGTGTGTTAGACACAGAGAGGAAAAGCCTAAAGGCCCTCGTGTGCAATAAAACAGGGAGTGACAAAGAGAGGAAAGATCCAAGGTTGTGTTTGGATAAAGCTAATGAGAAACAGTTTATTGTCAATTGATTCTGCTGTTGAATTCACACTCTCTTGTCTTTCCAGCTGGACTACACAGACGCCGGGGACTGCAAAGTGTGTTATGAAACGCGTCTAAATGCGAGCAACGCAGCTCAAGCCTGCAGCTGTACGAAAGAGTTTCAACTTAAAAAAACATTTAAGGTAACAACTCCTTAAATTTGATGACATACGTGGACAAAATAACCTGAACTTGAGGACCACTCGCAAGCTTTTTCCACAGACCTAAGTGACACATGGTTATGTGGCTGAAAGCTCTCAAAACAAATTGGAAGTGGACCTTGAATTAAGACAGATTTGTCAAGATCAACATTTGCTCTCACACCAGTGCTTTTATTTGTTGTTTGTGCTTAAAGTCAGACTAGAAATTGGCGTTTCCACAGCAAGCCGATGATGTGAAATGTGCTTCTGTTCCAGGGAGATGTCTTTTTCTACTATGGCCTCCGAAACTTTCATCAGAACCTCCGCAGGTACATGGACTCCAGAGATGATGCACAGATGGTCGGCAGGAAGAAAAGTTTAAAGGTATTTTCACAATAATTAATTATCAGTTCACCATCTTGTACATTCTCGTGGGTATTTTTATGCAGAGATAAGCTGTGACAAATACAGAACGCAGAAAGTTTGGTTGAAGGTTTTCAATTCATTTACACGAAGCAGTACAAGTAGTGCCAATCCTACACTAAACAGTAAAAATATCATCAGAGAAATATGCCTGAAGAATCAAACACAACAGCAGAATGCTCCCTCCCAGTGTTTGAATAGTACATGTCACAGTACTTCCTTATTCCCAGAAGCAGATGTGTACTCTATGTATCACTATACAGGCAGTACACAAAGTTTTTTGAATATATTTCCATTAACCAGACATCAATTTTTATAACAGCAGTCCTGATAGGTGGAGTTAAGATGACGTATTTGGGGGGTGTGCACCTCCGACTGTATGTATAGAAGTCTGATTTTGAGATCTGGGTGGTGCCTGATGTTTTAGTTGTGTTTGATGATCTCAGAACGCTTGGATTTGACAATTTTGAGAAACCAAGATGTGATGTTGAAAAGAAAAATGTCTTTTCTAACATTAAAACTCTCGAGTTTTCTCAGGAAAAAGAGAAGCTGCTGGGTCTTTTTAGTACCAGTGTGCTGGGAAAAGGACAGGTTCAGTCTATCTAAAGTTAATAAATGAGTCTATCTATAGGGCGGCCCCCTCCTGCTCCAACATCTTCTAATTCCTCTAAAAGATGCTAATCTCCACCCAAATCACAGCCCTTTGGAGATGTTCAGCTCCAAACGGCCCTCATCCATAATAAGTGATCAGAAAGTCTGCTGATATGTTAACAAAAGGATTCATATCATAGACCTTTCACACAGCAGATATTTTTGATTTGGCGCAGTAGGGAAAGCGCAGATGTATTAATGATGGCTGCGTTCCACTTAGCGGGGGGGGGCTGCTTTTGTGCTTGCTGGTTCACTGTCATAGCTCACTGAGATGCATCGTGGAACCGAGCCATCGTTATTCGTGTGTGTGCTTTTCCCACTGTGACAAAACTACTAAGGGCCGCGTCGTCCGAACAGTCTGATGGTGTGACGATGGAGAATGGATCAAAATATAAGGCAAACCGTCGACTGATTTCACGCAGCATTTTCATGTTGTTGATTGAGATGAAGCCGACTTTAAACACTGATACTGGGTTTGTTTATTTTTTTTAATCACTGCAAATAAACAGTAACTGCAGCTGTCAGATAAATCTAATGGATAATAGGTGTCTACATTCGATGCACTCTGGTATGTTTTTAAGGAGATTGCATTTTTATCTAAGTACAGTGTCTAAATACATGTGAATTCTTCCACTAGACCCCCTCTTCATATTGCCAGCCGTTTGCAAATGATCCAGATGGACGCCCTATTGCTCCCTGCGGCGCTGTAGCCAACAGTATCTTCAATGGTAAGCACAACACACACCATCAATCCTCACATCCTTCCTCCACCTTTCCTCTCACTGGACTCCTAACTCCCATGTGTCCTTCCAGACTCCTTCACTCTGACCTACCATGGCTCCAGTGGTTCTACAATTCCGGTTCCTCTTCTGCGGAAAGGCATCACCTGGTACACCGACAAAAACATCAAGTACCGCAACCCAACCACAGAGAACTTGACACTGGCTCAGGTGTTTAATGGTAACTACAGACGTAACCTGTAAGCGTGGTTTAATTTGTGTCTCAAGATGTTCGGTGATGTGCTGCATTTTTGACGCTCTCTCCACAGGCACGACGAAACCTCCGTTCTGGCAGAAGCCAGTCTATGATCTGGATCTCCTCGACCCGAACAACAACGGCTTCATCAATGACGACCTGATTGTGTGGATGAGGGAGGCAGCTTTCCCCAACTTCAAGAAGCTCTACGGGGTTTTAAACCGAATGAACAAACCCTTCACGAATGGGCTTCCAGCAGGGAACTACACCGTCAAGATATCCTACAGTATCCTTTTACGGGTGTTGGAGATGCCTTCCTGTGGGAACTTCGGGGGCGGTTGGTAACACATAGGTTGCTCATGTCTCATTGTTCTTTGTCTTATCTGCTGTCGAACAGAAGCGTATGGACAGGGACTATTTTAAGACCACAGGCTGACTATTTTCCACTAAGCTTGTCTTTCTGGTCACCTATTTTGAGCCTTGACCTCTTGCCCTCTCAGACTTTCCTGCGCAGTACTTCCGAGGCAGAAAGGAAGTGGTGCTGAGCACGCTGACCTGGTTCGGAGGTCAGAACTACTTCCTGCCCATTGCTTACCTCGTAACCAGCGGCCTGACCCTGCTGCTCGCCATCATGCTCACTGTGGTCTGGTGGAAGTTTGGAAAGAACGGGAAGAACATGGAGGAATGAAGGGGTAAGAGGTGCTCCAGGATGCAGAGCAGTGACATAATGGAAAAAAACAACAAGTCAAAAGCAGATGAAAAGTGCTAATCGTCATGCTGCTTAGGAGCTGTTTTAAAGAGACAACAAATCCTAAATGACAACACTGATGTGAGCAAATGAAGGGTAAGGAGAATGGTTAAAGAAAGAATGTTAATTTGGTACAATTTCACAACAGCATGTGCAGGAAAACCAATGCAGAACTGAGCCCGACATCTGGAAAATTACTTTCCCTATCAACTAAATGATCCACATGTGTGACGGCTTTTTATTGTGATGATGTTGCTCTGAACAAGCACTTGTGAAAGCTGGGTGTGTTAACGCAGGGTTTAAGCTTTCTTTACTTGATTTTACATTTGCATTTTTTTGAAAAAAAATACACACCATTTTGTTTATGCACTATTAATATTTATTGATATGATTGTATCACTGTATTTATTGTGATTATTTTTAATTGTATTAAGTCCAGTTGCAGTGGGAGTTGAGGCTGTATTTTATGTCTAAGTAGATGCGAAGTGGAAAAGCTACACTTTGATACATGCCACATTAAATACAGAAGTCAGCCCCTGTAAGGCTCTTTATTAGATTTTAATTACAGCACAGTTAAGGTTAGCTATTGCAGCAAGTATGGATTTTATGTCAGTGCTGTAGGTGCGTGAAATCATGCTTTCATAAACCAGGACTAAGAATTTACAGCCACAAGAGTTTTTAAAAAAATTATTAAGTGTCTGATCACCATATTAGTTTAGCATGTTAGCATGCTAATATTTCCTGATTTGTACTTAAGAGTACAGCAGAGGTTTGCTGAAAATATCATTAGTTTTGAAGGAATTTTGTCATAAACCAAAGTATTGGTTTAACTGCAGTTTTGGCAATGGCTCCTTTCACCAGTGAGTGTTATTAGGGGAACACCAGCATTATTCCAATTTGTCCTGAGAGGAACATGAACACAAACTTTCATGGTAATTCATCCAGAAGTTGTTATTATCTCATCCCAGACTACAGTGGGGACTGTTAGAGCCGTTGTTGGAGCTTTACAGTTAGCATGGCTCAAAGTTAAACACTATGGTAACAGTGGATGAAGACGGAAGTGAGTTTAATTATCACAGAAACGATGATAATGCCAATTAAATCATGTTTTCCCTTTTATGTAAGCAAGGCCAATGAAAGTAAAGTAAAACATGTAACTTTTGAACCATGACCACCTCAGTTTGCTAAGCATCGTGTCATTTTTAAGTACGTATATGTCAGCCACATGTACAGGTAGAAACTTGTAGGTAGACTTGCAACTACTGATTATTTTCATGACATCCTCACATGTCTTGTTCTGCCCACAACCCAAAAATATTCAGTTTACCGTCAAAGAGAGTACTGTAAAAAAAAAGAATTTCTAAGAAGCTGGAATCTGAGAATGATTGTGTTATTTTTTTTAAAAACAAATCCGTTAATCAATTGTTGCAGCTCTACTTATGAGTAGGTGGATTAAAACAATTTGTACATACGTTTTTATGACAGCTGATGATTGTAATAAACAATTTCTCTTTTAAAAACTCTTTATTTCTCTATATACAATCAGTGAGAGCCACATAAACACAACCCCTCCGTGACCAGGAAGCACCACAACTCTGGTTACTGAGCATAATCGAAGCATGACAGTGGCACAGCTGTTTGAGCAACACTTTCCCTCGGGCGAGGTTGATCTTCTGTAAAGTTATAAAGCAGCTTGTCTTGTTCGTTTCCCCTCCATCTGCATCTCCTAACCACCGAGCGTTTGGTCAGATCAGTACCACAGGTTGGACAGGAGAGGAATGCAGTCTACCGGTGCTACAGACGACGTTCTACTACACCTATAAGCCTCATACACAGTCCAAAAAACACACACACACACACACACACACAAGGCTGAAATATGGGAACAACTTACTGTACATACAGACACTGATGCACATAGATACAAGGAGGGAACCCCAAAATGCATTAAAACAGATCAAACACCCACATCAACACCAGACAATCATTATGATCCACAAATAAAAGTCAACACACAAACTATGAAATGATCACAGCTGTAACATATTTACTCATCTACCACTTTTTGCTGTACCTTTTGTTTCAAAGACACATCATTTAACTCACTACGTTAAGACTGCTTTTATGAATGATTTGGCTAAACTTGGCACGATTGCGAAAGTCCGATCTGTTGTGAATCGACACTGTATAAACACGGAAAAGGCAACATTTGGTCTCTGATACGACTAAAAGCACTTTCTCTTTGGGAATTTCACTGGACTGATTCTCCCGATGAGCCTCTTCAAGTTAAAACATCTGACAGGATTTATCAAAAAAAAACTACTTATTGTCAGTCAGGTGTCCACAACAGTGCAAACCTCAGTTTTTTTTCATCTGCCATCAGTGAGGGTAGTGGAGGGGTGTTTATTACTTTAAAAAAAAAAAAAATCTCTCCTTATCAGCAGGATGTGAAATAAAAATAAATATCAGTAAAATCATTTGAGTTTAAACAGGATTGCAGTAATGGAATTGCTAAAACTATACACAATTTCAAGTCATGCTTTTAAACAAAGTAAGACAATAAACGTACCGTGAAAAGGGAGTTCTGTACAAAGGCGTTACTCTCAGATGTAGGGTACTTAATGCAACATGCAATTAATTCAGTAAGAAAACCCTTAGATTTGATGAATCGCCAGGTACATTACAGTTGAACCTGGTTTAGCGTTTAACTGAATGGAAATCACAGTTTTCACAGGATGAAAGACCTACTAAGAATCACAGAACAGGGACACAGTCTTTATCAAATAGTAGTCAGCTTTCTCCTTCCCGCTCATCCATCTCCAAACTCTCACACCTGGCACAAACACATTCATCTTTGTGGTTTCAGTGATAGGACTGTAATGGCACTACACAAGCAGTTGGTGGCCATGCAGAAATGTTTAGGCAATACAGACATCTCCAGATGAATCTAAAGCTAAGGTAGTGTTCATTCAAGACTCAAGCCGAGGCTCAAGGGCTCACAGGTTCACACCACCGCCTCCTCCTCCTACAACCCTCTAATCTTTGTCCGTTGGGTTGTGTTGGTGGTGAGGGGCAGATTAAGGCCGTTATGCATCCCGACTCTTCAGCTCTGTCCTGTTGGCTTTTGAGTGCTACTCTGAGGTACCTGGTAGGTCAGATCCTCAGTCGGCGTTACCTGTCCAGTGGTATTTTTGGGTGTATCGTACGCCAGCCTCCCTGACTGACCGCTGTCTGTCCGTGCACCCATGAAGCTGCACACCGTGGAGGCCTGGTTCAAAGTGGACCCCCCCGGTAGGTGGCAACCCATATCGACCACGATGGGCGTAGCGTATTCAGATCCCGAAGCTGGCAGTGGTTCCGCGTAGGCGTGGTATACGTCTGGTGAGATGGGAGCGTCATACAGGTCTGGATCCGAGTATCCTGGATCAGGTCCCTCATCCGGTTTGAAGGTGGACCGCGCGCCTAATGTTGTTACACCGCTCACCAGTGGTTGGGCATATTCTAGAAAGAAAGTAGATCGTAGAATAACAATAACCAAGGACGTCGTACAGTTAATAGGTCACCTGATGTCTATAATCTCAGTAGCACGCCCAACAATTCTCCAAAAGTCCAGTTTTTACTAACTTTACAACTATTGAAGCTCCATTTGACTGTACAGAGCTTCATCATATTTTTCAGCTGTCTGCCTCAAAACTTTTAGCTGTTTTGTTTAATTCTCATTGCATCAGTTTCAACTACAACCAGCAGCTGTTTTCAGTCAAAAATGACAAAAAACAACCACCACATGTGACCTACTCAGAACCAAAAAGCAGACAAACACGGTTACTTACTAGCTAGTGCACATAATGAAGCATTTAGCAGCTAAAGAGACAAACATTTCCCCCAGGAGCTAGTCGAAGCCAAAACAGCAAAGTAGAATATTTGCCAGATAGAGCAATCCAAATGACATAATGTTAAAAACTGCTGGTATGTCCAAAAAGTAAATAAATCAGTGAGACTACATTAAAGATTAAGACTTATGCTGCTCAGTGATTTTGTTTATCACCAACAAAAAACGAAACAATTAATTGCTTCAAACAAATGTTGGATACAATTTCTTGCTCCAGCAGGTCTCTCATTGTCCAGAAACTGTTAGAAACATATAAAAAGTGTGTGACATGTCCTTTATCATAAACGTGAGTGCTGTAGATCATTTAGAGTTCATTGTACAAACACTGTCCTGTTGTTTGAAGTTACAAGCAGAGCAATAAATGTATGTTAATGCACAGCGGTAAACAGTCCCCGTCAAATGCACTATTTACTTCTATCTGAGGAACATTTGCCAAAAACATCAGTGTCCTGCTGCTTTTAGGAAATTACTCAGCCTTTTTAAAACTGTATATGTACAGTATGTTTTCGCTACAGGATGGGGAAGTCTTTAAGTACATTCTTAGTTTTGGCCTTTACATCCGATTTGTTGACTTAAGGGCACATATTGGATATTGCCAGAAAAACAACTCCAAAATGCAGAAATGTCTTCTCTCAAGACCTTATCTGAAGGTTTAACATTCTAGTCTGTTACACAGCAAACGATGGAAGCAGTTTAAACTGTGTTGATCACAGCCATTAAGGTAATTTACTTGTGCATATAACAACAAAAGCCTAAATAATTAAATCTGTGTTCTATTAGCAGCAGGACTGACTGTGTGAGGCAAATCGGGACCAAGCACAAAAACATATTTATGCATTTTCTGTAGGTTCCTGTGGCAGCACATATAGTTTGTGCGACTGTAACTGCACGCCTTCGCTCAGTGGAATTACTGAACAAGTTTGTAGATATAACCTATTTTCTTAGAGGAGAATCTGTATTGCTAATGGAAAACATCAGGAAAACAAACTGGTTAAAGGGAGATGCTTTAAGCTGATTTAAATCCAAAACTTTGAACATAACCTGCTCCTGATCAGTTACCATGGTGATCCAGCAGATTGAAAGACAGCCACCTTTGAGACACTAAGGCCGTGTTTACACGTAGCAAAAACGGTGATATTTCAAAGCGTTAGGGCCTTTGGTTTACACGCAAACGAAGCTAAACATCACCGAAAGCAATTATATCTGAAAATTCCGGCCAAAGTGGAGATTTGGAAAAACTCCGTCTTTACGTCTGCATGTAGACATCAGGAGACGGAGTTTGACGTCACAGTATCGGGCAAAAGCGTCATATGTGTGCGACCCATGTTTACAGTTTGGCTACTGTGATAGAAAGTCAATATTTTCAAGTATTTTACTGGTTTTGTACTCTAACACCACATTTAGGAATAGCTCCACTTCTCTGTTGGTCCAAACAAACGACCCTCGCATCATTGTCGCTGACGTAACAGGAAGTAATTGGTGCCATTCGTTGTTGTGTTTTTTCCAGGATTCTGATTGGCTAGCATGGCTTTATGCTTCTCTGCCCCCTATAGGTTTGGCATTGTCATAACAGCTCTTACCAGCGTGTTTATGCAGGTTTGTGTAGACAAAGATTTTTTTTTTTTTAAACAATCTGGTGTGAACAATGTTATTTTTGAAAACGTAAATCCATTTTTGTAAATACCCGGCTATGTGTAAACGTGGCCTAAAACTCTGAATTTAAGCTCAACATACCTCATTAACCCATTAATCTGGCTTCCTTGTACACCCCTCTGGTTATTTGAATAGTCAGCACATTTTTTACAACACTAACCTGCAGGTTCAGCGTGTAGTCGTGGTACAGCTCCTCTCCCCGTTAGCCGGCCAACTTCGCTGCTGCTGTACCGAACTGAATCCTCAGTCTCCACCATCTTGGAAGGCAGCAGCTGCTTCATGCTCTTCCACCAGTCTGCAGCAGATGCACATTGAGATTTACAGAGTTGCACCAGCGAACCCACAAAACACATGCAGACACATTGGCTCGTGCTGCAGAGCGCTGACGTACCTGTGCGATCCCAGTGAGGAAGATCATAAGTTCCTTCGGAGCTCTTGTTCCTACAAAGAGAGAAAAATAAAGTCACAAAGGCAATAATGGAAGATTTTAAATGCGCTATGATGGGAGGAGAGGAATGCACACCTGTTCCTCCAGTGCCAAGTACAAACCACACTCAAGATGAGAGCAGTGAGGACCATGACCAACACAGGAACCAGAACCGCTGCCAGCGCCACATCTAGGAGCAGAAACAGGACAATAAACACCACAAATCTCCATTAAGGATCCTTATCTTTTAAAAATGAACATCTGACACACCTTTACCAGTGTGGGGAGGCATAGTGGTGTTTCTGATATCTGGGGTGTGAGTGGTTTGGCCGAGGTGAGGGGGGCGTTTTGTACCCGCAGGATGTGGAGGGTAATGAGAGGGGGGTAGCCTCGGCATCCTCGGCCATGGCCTCACTGTCAAATACAGAAAAAAGAAATCATTTGATCTTGGAGCTTAAAATATCTTTTAATTTTCTGCCAGTAAACAGACTTTTTGGTTTGTTTTTGTTTTGTTTTTTTTTACCTGGAGGAGGAACTTGGCAGCCGAGCAGCTCCAGCTTGAGCGCTATTCTCTGGTGCCACAAGGTGGGATTTACCCTCACAAATCTGGCCTCAATTGGTGGAATGAAGTTATTCCTCACCTCATGCAGGTAGTTGATGTTGCCTTGGAAAATCTGGCAAGAAACAAGAACAAACGCTCTAATTTATGCCAGAGATTTGAATCCAACGTAGTAGCAGTTGGGAGGAAATAAAGTTCACCCGAACAATCCAGTATGTGGACAAACGCTCTGTAAGCCATAAGCTGATTATTTTCCAACTTGGCAAGCTAATAACTACTTTCCTCCACACAATAAGCGCCTGTAAGAATCCCAGCAGAGAGCAGCTCGTAGGCAGCAGTTCCAGCCTAACAACCCGGCCGCTAAATCCATATCCATTCATTATTAATGCCCAAGTGTCCTGACTTGTCTACCACAGCACTTAACTCAAACCACTGACTGCTCGCATTTCCTGCCATAAACGTCTCTCAGTCAATACCAGTTGCTAAGGAAACAGTCCAGCTAAGTGTCCCTGCAGCTTTCTAAAGTGTCATTTTTGTCCATTTGCACTAATTTAGAAGAAAAGAAAGGAAGAAAAAAACATGAAAGCAAATGACGTAACTGTTGAGCCAGCAGGGCTTATTGATTTGGCGTCTGAATTACCTTGTCTTGTGTAGAATTTGCTTCCCTGTAGCTGGACCACTGCTTGCCATCGTTACTGTACAGGACCCGGTACGCTGAAACGTAGTACTTGTACTCTATCAGGGTAGAACCGGTGGTGATGATACCTGGATGGATGGACAGAGGGAAGTAGAAGATGATGACAGCTGTCTCGACTTTAAGCCTGAATGAGATGAAGGCTGTGTTGCTGCACTATGCTCACTGTGTGCAGATGAGATACTCATTCAGAAATCTTCACCTCACAAAAAACGCATTCTAAAGCATCAGATTTTAAAAAATGAGCATGAGGCAGAGGGATTCTGTTGTTTCTGGTTGTTTTTTTGTGTGATACACATCCTGCTCAACCATTAAGGCCAGGTCTCTGTTGTAAACACGCTAATGTATTTCCTGGTCACATAAATAAAAATACATTATGCACAAATCAGCTCCAACATTAAAAACGCTTAGAGGTAAAAAACTGAGGGAGACCTACGCAATATTAGGCAGGCGGTTTTAATGTTGTGGCTGTTTAGTCTACAGTGTCCTCAAAAATCCCCCAACGGAAATTTCACAATATTCCTATCCATGACATGCATGCTACTTTCTCCCAACACAGCACCAGACTGCATTTTATAGAGGTGAGAATTATAGTTGTGCAACTCAACAGCTGCCAGTGATGACAAAAAAAAGAAGATTAGATGCTGTCCAAAGTGGAAATTTATTGCTCACTACTGAGTCAGCTACTGAGTGTCTCTTAAGGAGGAGTACTCTGGACACGGGTTAAAACTCTGCAGCCACGTTAGCAGCTTTGTGAGTTTGATACGTTCATCTTTTTTCATAAACATTTACTAATTAGCACTTAACACAAAGGGCACCTAAAGTCAATGGGATTGTCATTAATTTTGCCAGAATATATTTGGTTGTTGTAACCAAGTTTCATAGAAGAAGTTGTTGTGATGTTTCATAAAACACCAAAACATCACCTTCATAGTGGCACTAGACAGAAAGTTGGGAATAATCAATTATTAGTCATTAGGTTTCATCTTCTTGAGACCATGAATATACTAAATTTCATTACAGTCCATTCTGTAGCTGCGGTATCTCAGTCTGGATCAAATTGTTGGACTGAGACAGCCAAGGCACAAACATGATCGAAGATAAAGTGAGACATAAGGGAACATTTGGCCGGAAAGCCTTGTAGGTAATTACAGATAGTAGCTGGTGTGTATGGTAATACCAGCAAGTGTTTGTGTTTTTATATGTACAGTCGTCCTCAAATGTATTAATACCCTCCCACTAAAGAAGGAAAAAACAGCTGTCACTGAAATAAGTTGAAATTAACAATAATAAATTAAAGTTTAGTGAAAATCATGACATTGCTTTTG